TAAAGATTTTCTTTTGTTTCCAGGTGATGACTTCCTGTTGCTGTTCCATCTGAGAGATGGTGTCTGTCGTTACAGAAAACTCCTGCTGTGATTTAAAAAAAATGAACCTCCGAGGAAGTAAAGTAGCAACTGTCTTTCTGCTGGTAAATAGCCCTCTCACAGTAATCTGACAAATGTCTTATACTAAACTGACCATGGGAATCCGAGGTTTAAAATCTCGTAACCACACATAAAGGGTAGCAGGTACTAGTCTACCAATAGGAGTTTTTAATCCAATCCCTGTAACATATTTATCAAAACTTTTTAAAATATGTTTTAAAAATATTAGGTAGGGAGCAATATCCCTAAAAAAATACAAAACTAACAAATCTCCAGAATGCTTAATTGTTCGTTTTTATGAATTTACAGCCTCAGTCTAAAACTGATGCCAAACCAGCCACAACTAAAGCAATGTAACATTTGCCACTGAAGTTACATGTTGTTACTATAGATCTTTCTCTTAAAGTGAGCAGGACGTGACGTCCTACGATGACATGCACTGGCATTATTTTATCTTTCCCTTTTCTTGTTTTTTAATCACTACTTTTTTCAGGATGTGTTTGTTTAGTTGACGCATAAGAAATGTTTATGGGAGTCATGTCACAGGAGGAGCAGGGTTAATGTAACTTTACACATTTGTTAACTTTATATAAAGAAGGATTAATCTGTATCTGAAAATATGTCTGTTTACATCTACTGCTGAATTTACTAAAAGTGTGGAAATGAATTTTCTTCACAGATGATTTTAATTCCATCTATGAATTGTAGCCTCAAGAGATGTCATATTACAGAGTACAAGATTGGAAACAGATGCTGCACTGTGTGCCCTGCTGGTAAGACTCAACAAGATAAAACTATTTCTGCTTTTTTCCCTTTTCTCCTTTAATCAATCATATACTTCAGAGTTTAAGTATTCTTCTGTGCTGTCAGGCATGCAGTGATTAGAGAATCACTCCTAAAGCCTAGATTTACTCTTGACTGACTTCTAAAATATGTAAACTCTATATACAGAATATGCAGACTGTAATTCTTAAGGCAAGATAATATTTTTTCAAGACCCTAAATTATTTATAGTTCACATTAATATTCACAATTAAAACCTTTCTTAACATGTTAAAAGGTGAGACAAATAAAAAGAAGAAATACATAAGACAGGATTTTTCTATATAAAAGTATTTCTTGTTTCTATCAAATAAGTTTAAATTAGCTTTTAAAGTAATAAAAAAAAGGAAATTATGTTTTTAAACCGGAAGGCATATCCAATGATGTAAATGAAACATTATTTAGTAATATTATATTTTAAACTTTTATAAATGCTTTTAAAGGGGAAGGTGTTTTTTTTTTTTACGTTATTACATCATGTTCATATTATATCTTTTATATTTATATATTTTTTAAACAAAGCGGTGCATGTATGACGTCATCCGCGCGCGCTGGCTACCGTTCATTCTTCCTGTCCTCTGAACTGCTGCTAGTTTTCCTCACATGTCTGGAAGATGTCTAGTGCTGCTACCACAGATGATCTCGCTCTCCAAATGGAATTGAACGATTCAGATTAGCTAGAATGAATAGAAGGGGTAGAGCGTAGCCGCCTGTGGCCCGGGCTGCCTGTCACGACTCCAGTCCGGCGTGCAGATGACTTCATACACACTCTGCTTTGTTTTAAAAACATATAAATATTAAAAATATAACCGTGGATGTCTGGGGGACAGTGATTGGCCTACATGTTCTGAATGCTGGCGTACCATAAAGAATAAATGATGAACAGTTTAGTTTGTGCCTTCAAGTCGTTGCCCATAGGAAGACGTTACTGGATATAACCTAACGGAATATCTTCAGAACGGCTGCAAATGACACAAAACTCATATGGGTGAGTAGAACATAGGGGTGGAACGGTTCACAAAATCCACGGTTCGGTTCGGTTCACGGTTTCATGGTCATGGTTTTCGGTTCGCTATATGTTTATTGTTACACCAAAAAAAAAATTAATACAAATTATAAAAATTTATGAAAAAATAAAAATTTATTAAATTAATGAAAAAAAAACACGGAAACCATGGATCATTTCCGCATGTTTTGCTGCTTTGAATTTAATCATCTGGCGCAAGC